AGAGCGTCGGGAGTTTTTGCTGTCGCGGGGCGATGACCTTGCCGAAGCCCGCAAGGCCGCCGCCGAGATCCAGCAGGACAATTGGGACCAATGGCGAAACAAACAGACGCTTTCTGGGGGGGCGAGGACAGCGCGTCGGCCCGCGAAGCTTCAGAAGAAATTGATGCCCACGGCGGTGCAAAATCGCCCCTGAGCGTTTTCCAATCCCCCCCCCCAGAAAGAAATTTTGAAGGCTGAAGGCGAAAGTCTCGCCAAGTTCCGGCACGCGTCGCATGCGCTGCCAGGAGCTTGCGCCCCCGATTGGCCCCATCTCCCACGGCCATCAGGAGCGCCGCCCGTAGTTTCTCGCTCTTGACGTCGCAGTCGCTGGGCGGGCTGCGTCCGAGACAGCGCGTCATTGCGTCGGCCGGGGCTCTTGCAACTTTCAGTGCGATAACCCATGCGATCGAGTCGCTGGGCTCGTTTCCGAAACAGTTCACAGTTCTTGTGGCTCGATTTCCTCCTCGTCGAAAACCGAACGGGGGGGGGGGCTCCGCTGCGTAATTATTGGGCCATTGGCCCAGGTCGCAGCGCTGAGAATGTCGCGCGGTATCAGGCCGCGCAGTCGGAAGTTGCCCATCATGAGGACAGGGAAAAGGGGGCGGGGGGGCATTTGGGACGGGACTAATATTACGAGTCATTCGATCTCGGCCCGCTCAGAGACAGGGCGCTGCGGCACGGCGTTGATCTCGTCTTTGTCAAGACCACCTTCAAGTTTTGGACGGGGGCCCGATTGTTGAGACTGGGGACCGGGTGCGGTCCATTACTTTACGTTGCCTCCTCTGGCCTTCCTGAAGTCGAAATCTGCAACGATAACATACTTCGTATTTATAGCATCGGAGCGTTTGATCCGAGCGCTGTGGATAAACTTGGCATCGCTTTGTCCTCCTACGTCGATGACGATCGCGTCGCGACTTCAGGTTGGGAACAACAGGATCTGACCACCCTTGCCAGGGCCGCCGCCAGCCTGCGCGCCATGTTCAGGGGCGAGCTGCGCGTCGGCACTTAGCCCGACAAGGCCAGCACCTTCGCAATGCGCCTCGTTCTCGCTAAGAAGATTGCTGGCCTTCTCGGGAAGTACGCAGGCCAGGTCACCAACTGCGCGGTCCCCCTCGGCACCGACCTGGCCCCAGGTCAGCAGCGTGGGGCTTGACTGTCCTGCCATCCGCCGCAGCACCGCGGCTGCTCGCTCCAGGCCCGTCTGGCGATCTTAAGGGGCCCCGCGTGGAGACCCTCCGTCGCCCCTGCCCTTCATTGGGCTTCGATTGTTTGGTTGCCCCTCACCTCTTCCTCATCTCCCAGTACAATATCAAGGATATCGCGCAGTTGTGGCGGGCTGTTCAGCATGATGATGCGGTCGCCCGGCGAACTTCGCGTGGACCGCTGCAGCGCGTGCGCCTGCGCTTGGCTAGACTCGGCTGGAGATCCGCGAGCCCGCTCACCTCTGAAGACGATTACTTTAATTTCGCATATGTTGGGGCTGGTGGTACAATGACAGCATGAGCGAGTTTTGTGTCAGGACGCTCCCGGGGCCGGCTGAGTTCGGCTTGGCGCCGGCCTCTTCAAACAAGCTCTGGGCCCTAGTGGGCGCAAGCTGACTTCTCGCCGGAAGTGCATGTCGCTCAGTGTTTTCTGCAGAGACATCTGTACGCGCTTTCGCGCGCAGGCGGCGGGCTACAAGGCCGATTGCAAGTGTCCGTTATGTGGTTTCCCTGACAGCGTCCGCCACCGCGCGCGGCAATGGTTACATTCCGAGGTCGTCGCTGCGAATGGTGCTCCTATGGAGTGGCTCGCCGAGGCCCTCGATCGCGAAGGCAGGTTGTTCTTTGATGAATTGAAATGAGAGCACCCCGAGGGCGCTTACCCTCCCCCTGCTGCTACCCCCAACCCCATCCTCTACTCCTCTCAGGGGCAAATCCTGGATTTGGGTTCCACCGACTTGTCGGGTTGCGACGTGGTGATGGATGGTTCGGCCTTTCGCCGCGCGATTCGGGAGCTGTCCAGGGCGGCCTACAGTTTGGTTTTCTTGGGCATGGGGACGAAACAACCGCCTTCGCTAAAGTTGCCGCTTTGGACGTCCTCCCCCAGACCTCCCCAGCTGCTGAACACCTGTGTATGGCACTTTTCCCGATGTTTCAGGAGCGCGGGGGCGACAGGCACTCCGACTGCATGGGCGTCGTTCGGTTGCGCTCCGCGCCCAAGGTTTTTCAAGTTTTTCGCAAGCGCCGCCACGCTGGATTGCGACGCGGTGCCCTGTTGCACGAAGTCGAGCCCATACTTGTTGTGCACCACAATCCTGCCCATCGGAGCCGTGATTTCATTGATGTTTTTCCAGGACCCGCCAGGCGCGTCGGTTTAGGTAATTGGAAGGCATATGTTGGGATCAAACAGGCTCTCCTCCTCCACCCCGTAACTCAGTGTGCATGAGCGTGAGGAGGTGGACAGGAAGTGCAGCATGTTGTAGAATGTGTGGCTAGAATTGCTGGCACAGTGCTAGCGGCCATTCCCCCCCGGAAAACTCGAGCGCCAGATGGTGTGTCCGAGGGCCAAGGTTTTGAAATCAGGAGGTTGGCGCGCCTGGCAAGAGCTCACCGGGCAGGGTCAAGGGCGCGCCCGTTGTCTTCACTGCCTCCAGTTTTCCTCGGACTCCCTGGCGAGCCCCATGTTAGGTTGCAAAGGCCCCAGTAAGACTTGGAAGGGCGTCCTGGACTGCTCTTTGGGGCACGCCCTTGCTCATTGCATAGTCGAGAAAAGGCAAACCATTGATGCCCTTCTTCTTCTTCTGCATCACGTGTGGGGCGTACTTATCCACCCGTTGTTTTTTGCTTGGTAAGGAGTGCTCTCAGCGGCTGCTGTCTGGTGCTCCGACAACCCTTTGCAGAATTTGTTGAGGTTTGTATCCTCACTACCTCCAGAAAACAGCGGTAAGCGAAAGCTCGCGGCGTGGAGTTTTTTTCTTCTGCCATGCTGCGCAACAACCGCCGCCCCGTGATGTGAGTTTGCCAGTTTCGCCCTCTAGTTTGATAGCGACTCCAGGGATGCTGGCGCTGCAGGCGCGGGTTCACGCTCGCGAGGCCGCGGCCGCGAGGCCGCGGCGGCGGCAAGGCCTTCCGCTGCTCCCTCGAGCTGATGTTTCGCCCAACCCGGCACCCAGAACCTGGGAGGCGGTCGGGCGGTCAGCCACAGGGGATCCTCCCAGCTATGGGAAATCGTCCCGTGGCTCTCGCGCCCGTCCTTCATTTTTATTGCGGCTTTTGGGCCCAACGCCGTGTGGGCCGCCCACGGGTTCTGCTCGGTGGCCCTGCCTGTGGGTGCCCAGTGTCCCCTTTGCAGGGTCGGCAGCCGCTATTTGATCGGCTGATTTGGAATACCGTTGAGGCCCCAAAAGATCGCAGAGGCAGAACCCTTCTCTTCCTCCTCCTCCTCCTCCTCCTCCTCCTCCTCCTCCTCCTCCTCCTCCTTCTCCTCCTATCCTTTGTTTTTTGCCTCGAGCCGTTTTTGACGGCCCCCGCGGCCAAGTGAGGGCCCCCAGTGGCCGGCAACGGCCAGAGGCTTCCCGTCTGGGTCGTGCTGCTCGCCTTCGTCGCTGGGCGCAGCCTGGCCGCGCCTCGCGTCGCCGGCCGCGCCGCCGAGGGCGACGCGCTCGCGGCCCCGCGGCGAGCCTGGCCTCGGCGTTCGACGTCCGACCCCCCCCCGCTGCTGCCCCGCTTTCTAGGGGGAGCGGAGAATGAGATAGACATAAAGCTCTGAGGTCCGCGCGGACCTCCGAGTTTTTATGTTGATGTCATTATTCGTATTCCTAACTCTGGGCGCCAGGGGAGGTAGGGCAGGGAGGAAAACGCGTGGCCTGAGGCCACGCGCTTTTTCAGGATCACTGAGCGTTTGCTCAGGTCGTCCTGAGCAGACTTTCGGTTCTGGATTAACTCCCGGCCTCCGAGGCTCGGCGGCCAGAAGTTTATCCAGTATCCCCGCTCTGGCTCCTCGTGGCATCGGGGCGCGAGCTGGGGCTCGGAAACAATGCCCTCGCCGAGTTCAGTTGCGGCCCGTGGCCCGCTCCGCGCTGGCCCGAGCACCGATCCGGTCCGGAGGAGGAGGACACAGACATCCGGCGCTTCGAGGAAATCGAGACGACGGTTTTCAAACGGTCGGACCGAGGTGCAAGATCGAGGTCGTCTCTTCCAGGGCACCCTGAGGTTTATCATTTGTTTGTTGGATGCTCTTGTGCACCATGGGGGAGGGCACCCTCGAATGCTCTTCAGTTTGGCCGGCCGAAAGTCTCATGTTCTTCTGTCCCAGGTCCGGCCGTCGTCCTCGGGCGTTCGGAGCCCTCACGGGGCCCCCCGGGTGGTCAGAGAGCGGCTCGGGGTGAAAGCCAGTGCCGGGGAGGTGGTCGAGAGGTCAGGGGCCCGCGTGTCGAAAGCATCACGGCCCGTGTCCGGGGACGACGGGGCGTGCGATGTCACAGGGTTCTCGACCCCTTCCCCCAGGGCCTTACGTGCTCCTCGTCCGAGCCGTTGTTCTAGATTCTAAAGGTCCCAGAGCCGGGAAGCGGCCTCCATGGCCGAAAGCATTGGAAAGTCGGCCGTCGCGCGTTCTTGTGTTCGTCGCGCGGGTCTGGGGGGATTCACTCCTCTCCCTGCCCGGGGAGGCGGACGACGTCAGGGGCAATTCCGGGGCAATGAGGGGGGGTGGGGGAGTCGTCAGGCTCAGGGGGCGCATGTGCCGACCCCAAATCGCCCATTCATCGCCGACAGGGGCCCGATGACCCACCCGCGCCCAGGACCGTGCGGCTTCGTTGTCGGGCGTCTTTCGCCAATGCATGGGCGGCGCATCGCCGATTCCAGGTCGTCGTCTCGCTTCCTGCGCAGAGCCAGTCCCCCCCCATCGCTTCCCCTCGGGACGGGGCGGGCGAGAAGTGGGCGGCGAGGGGGTGCATGTGCCCTCGGTGCGGCGCGCGCGAGGCCGCCAAGGAGGTGCTGCTCTGGGCGAAGAACCGCCTTAACAAGGCCCTCCTGCTCACGACATCCCCGGCGATCCGGTGCGGCCCGATGTTCGCATGGCGATGTTGTGCATCTTGGCGTGGGCGGTCGGATTCGATTCCGACCTCGCGTGTCGATGCGGCCCGATACGACGTGCATTCCGATTCGGTCCGATTGCCCGGTTCGAAGTTTACGGATTTTGCTTTTTGCTCCTCCAGTTGCGCTACAGCGGGTTGGCACACGAGTTATGAGAACAGCCCCAGTCTGAGAAGGGTTCCCCTATCTTCTCCGTGTCCAGGCCCTCACATTTGGAATGCTCTTCGCGCTGGGGTATCTCCACGGGGCCCTGGGCCTGTTTTGGACCTACGCTCTTGTGGTCATGTCTCGACTGCATCTCGATTCTTTTTGCGCCACGGTGGTTGTCATAGAGCAAGAAGGGCGCCAATGTCCGAAATGCACCAGGGCGGGGCCGCCGAAGCCTGGGGCTCCGATCGCAAGTGTCGGCGCACGCGGCCCAAGGGGGGGGGGCTCTCGTCGTTTCGAGCTTACCACGTCACATTCATATGCAGCTGCACGCGACGCGGCGCAGGGCGCGAACTCCTTCTATTTGTGGTTTGGACGTACACCTATTCATGCACACGCGTATTTACGCACATATAGATATATGATGTTAGTCAGCGGGGTGCAATTGATGTACACTATCTTTGGTTTTGCAATTTATGTTGTGCAATCTATGTACACAAGGTTTTACCGGTTCGCTTCGCTTCGCCTTTTAAAATGTTGTTCGCATGGCGTCAGCGAGGTTCGCCGGGACCCGTAGTCGCCCGCACCGCGGTCCCACTCGGCAATGAGGCCCATGGAACCCATAAGGTCCACCGGGCTGATACGACCCATTGGGTCCTTTGGGTCAGAGGGTTGAAAAGGCTCTTTGCCGCCACTGGAGCGTAAAAGCTCGGGGCGGCAACGTGGAGGAGGGGTACTTCGGGCAGCGCGGCTCCTGGAGATCATGAGGTTCTTAGAGCCCGCAGTCGTACTTGAGTTCAGAGGGCCCCTCGGGCTGATGAGCTTATTGGGCGTCGAGGCGCGTAGGGCCCATGGCCTCACTGAAGCCCATGGCTCTTCGGCGCTGTAGACCGCGTCGGTTCATGGGGGTTCCTCGGCGTATGGGACCCATAGGGGTCATTTTGCCCACTGGGCCCAGGAAGGGTGATGAGGTTCAGGACGGGTCGTCGGGGTCGTAGCGCTCATGGGGTCGACGGGGTTCATGGAGCTCATAGGGCTCGTAAGGCTCTAAGGAGTAGCGAGGGCCGTGGAGTCCATGAGGCTGAAAGGGCTCTTAGGGCTCTTGGGCCTTTTGAGCCCCTTGAGCAGCATAGGGCCCACAGGGCCCGCAGGGGTCATAGGGCTCGTAGGGCTCGCAGGGCGCATAGGGCTCGTAGGGCTCATAGGGCTCATAGGGCTCAGAAGGCTCATAGGGCCAGGCTGAAGACGCGGCCCATACGACGGGCGGCGACGGGGCGGGGACGGTAATAACATCGCCGCCAGATCGAAGACACGGCTTAGTTCCGTAGAGGAGGAGCACACATTGTTAAGTATAAGTTTGTTGTGGGAATACATCTATATTTTCACACACACACATATATAGATATATGTGTCGAGGGAGGGGGGGAGAGAGAGAGAGAGAGAGAAAGAGAGAGAGAGAGAGAGAGAAATAGAGAAAGAGAGAAAGAGAGAGAGATAGAGAGACAGAAAGGGATAGCGATACCTATATATATAGAGAGAGAACAAAAAACAAAAGAAAGAGAGAGCACGTTTATCTATATAGACATGTGTACACAATACTGATTTAATTTTGCGCTTCGCGCCATGCATCGTCGTCGTCCTTGGAAGTTGGTATGCAGGCGGAAGGGCAGGACGATTAACCAGAAAAATTAGCGATAATTCCTTGTTGCCTTTTCCGGCATCGTCAACTTGGTAATGTTGTGCATTTTTTGTCCCTCATGTTTCTTTTTCCTCTTTCCCATCATCGCCCCCTCCTGCGAATTCTTCCCAGCCTCATGTTTTTTGGTTTCGGAGACTCCTCCTGGGATAGCTTCTTGGTGGCTTCACGACAGTTTTTAAGGGCTTCTTGGAGCCTTCTGAATTTTGGAGGTCTCCTGTGCGCCTTCTGGGGCCTGTGGGGGCTTCCTCGGGCCACTGCTTCCAACCGCGGTTTCCCTGAACGATCAGGTAACGATTTGGAATGCTTCGGGGGGCGTCTTTGGGCCGTCATGAGGCTCTTTTCGGGCCATCTTGGGACCCGTTGGGCCGTCTTGGGGGTCTCTTGGGTTGCGTGGAAGCCCTTCCGGGTTGTTTTGGAACGATTGTCGGGCCTTCTGGGCGTTCTTGGAGGCCCAGAACGAAGAACATATATTTTTTTGACGCTTCCCAGAAAGCCTGGGGGACCTGCAGGGGCGTCCAGGGTCGGGGTCGGCAAAGAGGGGGGTGATGACTGGGTGTGGGGGGGAGATCACGGCGGGGGCCATGATATCTCCCCAGATTTCATGACGCCTCTTGTTTCCCATTAATTCCGCGGCCCCCCCCTCCTGGACCGCGCACGTGCCGCCGGCCATGATTTGCCCCCCCTTTTCTTGGAAGTCCCCCTCTTGGCCGGCCTCGAGGATCCTTGGGGTCCCGTTTTTCCCCTGCCCGACAGGTTGCCCGGCCAACCCCACCCTGCATACCACGGCCGCCAGACCCCAAGTTCTCCCGATGGTCCCGGGTGTCCCACCTTGCGCCCAGCCAACCCCCGCCCTCCGGACCGCGGCCGCCAGACCTCCCCAGAGTCCCGGGTGTCCCGCCTCGCGCCCCCGACGAACACGGCTGAGCACAACATGAGAGAACATAACATGACGGAGCCGAACAGAACATGACAGAACAAAGCATATCAAACTCATGACAAAGTAGAACACGAGCATGGCGGAATATTACCAACCATAACATAGCAATGCCATGGCAAGGTAGAGCTTAACACACATCACAGAACATATCAGAGCAGAACACGACATAACATAAGACGACATGTGTTAACATAACATAGCATGGCCGAGCATACCATGACACATCTTGACAGAGCATATACATCATGACACATCATCACAGAACATATGATACCACGACATCAGAGCTTTGCGACGACGAAAACGGCATAACACAACATGACACAGCATGTCATGACATAACGTAACAATGGAATGTCATGACGCAGCAGAGCATGACAAAACATCACATAGCCTTCCAGAGCAGAACATGATATAACAGAAGTTGACAGCACAGAGCAACACGATCATAACGTCACACCGTGACATAACATACCTGAACATATCATAACACTAGCAGAGCATAGTGACGCCGAGCACGACAAAAAAACAATATTACACAACCTAACATGACATACCATAATACGAGTAACACATACCATGACAGACCATACCATAGACATGATATGACAACATATAGCATAGTATAACCTCACAACACATACAATAACATAACATGTCATATCATAAGACGACATACCGCAATCTAACATACCATAACCGTTCACGGCATAGAACATCTTGACATAACATATTATAGCACGACGCTCACGACAGCAGAGCTTAGCGGCACATATTACCAGAGCATATCATACAATATTATACAGAGCCGAGCCGTCAACAACCATAATATTACTTACCATACCAGGGCAGAACATGATGGAGCAGACGACGGCAGACCACACAGCACCATAACATAACAGATCATGACATAGCACGACTTGGCATACCATAGTATATATTGACAGCATTATTGAACATACCGTATCACGAAAGCAGGGCACAGCGAGGGTGAACACGACAGAACGCATTCTGATCCACCGTAACATGACGTACCAGAACGCGAGCATGGCATAATCTGACCAAATAGAACATAGCAATGCCATGACAAGGTAGAGCTTAACCCACATCACATAACACACCAGAGCAGAACATGTTGTACCATTAGAGGGCATACCACCATCCGAGCATAACACAACACGCCTTGATATAACACATTATACTGTGGCGCAGTATCACAGCACATAGCATAACACGACAGCAGAGCATATCGGCACGTACTAGCAGAGCAGAGCATACCATACTATACAGAGCCGTGTCGCCAAAAACCATAACACCACATACCATACCATAGCAACTCATGGCATAACAGAAGACGACACATACCAAAATAGTGATCGTATTCTTCTTCATTGTTCTGCCGATCGGTGCGGGCTCTCTCCCCTCCCCTCCCCTCCCCCCCTGGAGCGGATCTTCGCTGTTTGTTGGCGCCTGTTTCGAGCAGGTGGAGTCTCCCCCCCATAGGACGCACTGCGGCACACAGTCGCACCAAACAGAGATCTGGAGCCAGACCGCGCCCCCCCTTCCGCCCAGTGCCGAGACGCCGAATCAGAAAAACTATCTCGGGGCTGGACAGAACCCCCAACAGTGACACGTCGATTAGTGAATTGTCCGTTTTCGGTTCTCGAGAGGGCGCCGTGGCCGTTATTTTTCCAGGTTTGCGCCCTCCAGGTTTAGGCCTCAGGTCGTTTTCACTAAACCACGTTTTACTAAAGGGGGGTCTGTCCATCCCCGACTATCACATACCACAACAGAGCCGAGCGTAGCGTACCACAACTTGGCATACCATACCATGTCAGACCATACCATACCACGACAGCATCACAGGACATGTCCTAACACCAACGCGGAGCATAGCAAAAATCAGACTAGCATGGCATAGCTTGTTGCATTATACTGGGCCGAGCTGCCAACAGCATGACGAAACATGGTGTATTACAGCATTATTGCACATGCCATACCATGCCATAACACATTGCCGCGGACCAGATCCTACCATACTAGCCCAATGCATACAGTGAGATGTATGAACATCACGTTCATGCTCAATCAGAAGAGAATCGTACAAAGTAAGAGGAGCATCACAACAGACGGCGTGTCTAACGCCACAGGCGTCAGGCTGTCACGCCGGCCCGTCTAGACCATAATTGGACATACTAGTGTGTACAACATGAAAGAACGTGACTACATGGAACACGGTTGAACAGTTTTGAATCTAGAAACGGCAGGTGTGCAGTGGTGGTAAGAGAAGGAGGAGGAAAAGTAGGGAGGAGAGGTCCGCCTCGCCTTTCTCCTCTTTTTCCTCCTTCGTCGTCCGCCTATTCCTCCTGCTCCTCCTGCTGATGTTCTTCCTCTTCCTCTTTCAACAGGCTGCGGCTCTTTATCCACTTCGCGCCGCACGTGTTTGAAGCTTGTTTTTGTCGCCCCAGGGTTTCTTTTTCATTTCTCCCGTCAGGTGCTCTAGGTTTGTTGGGCTTGGGGAGAAAGGAATTTGCCACCCGGCCCGATCGCCGCATTGGCCGAGACCACAGGGACCTGCGCGTTGCGTTCCACCAATTAGGCGGCCGCGTGCCGTCGGGAGCAAACGCTTAAGGTTTCGGTGGGGATCGCCCGCAGCGAAGTATTCCCAACCCTTCTGCGTTGGGCAATTGCATTGGATCTAGCATTGCTTGCTCCGCCTCCTCCCGCCTCTCCTTTTCTCTCTTGCCTCTCATTCCGCTCCTTCCTGTGTTCCAGTTTGCCTCCTACCTGGCCATCTCTGGAGGGCTGCGATCTGCGACAGTGTCGCCACTTTTAAGGGCTGCTGGGGGGCCCAGCGGAGTGACGTCCTACCCATATTCAAATTCCACTTCGCCATCCCCGGGGGGATGCGATCTGCGAAATGGTCACCATTTTCGAGGGTTGCTGGTAGGTCCAGCGGAATGACGTCTTACCCAGATTCAAATGTCATTTCGCCATCCGTGGGGGGGGGGCTTAGATCTGCGACACGTTCGAGGGCGGCTGTGGAGTCCAGCGGAGCGACGTCCTAACCAGATTCGATTCAAGTTTAAGCTCGCCATCCGTGGGAGGCTGCGATCTTCGAAACTGTGACTTCTTCCAGTGGCTGCTGGGGGGTCCAGCGAAGTGACGTCCTACCCATATTCAACTTGAACCTCGTCGTCCCTGGGGGGCTGCGATCTGCGAAATAGTCGCCACCTTCGAGGGCTGCCTGGGGGTCCCAGCGGAGCGACGTCTTACCCAGATTCAAATTGCACCTCGCCATCCCTGGGGCCCTGCGGTGTGCGAAAGTTTCGCCACGTTTGAGGGCTGCTGTGGGTCTAGCGGAGTGACGTCCGACCCATATTCAAATTAAACCTCGCCATCCGTGGGGGGTTGCGATCTGCGAAAGTGTCGCCGCTTTCGAGTGCTGCTGGTGGGTCCAGCGGACTGACGCGTACCCAGATTCAAATTAGACCTCGCCGTCCTTGGGGGGCTGCGATCTGCGAAATGGTTGCTACTTTCGAGGGCTGCTGGGGGTCCAGCGGGGTGACGTCTTACCTAGATTGAAATTGGACCTCGCCATCCCTGGGGGGTTGCGATGTGCGACATTGTAGTCATGTTCGAGAGTTGTTGGGGGGTCCAGCGGAGTGACGTTCTACCCAGAGTCAAATTAGACCTCGCCATCCCTGGGAGGGCACGATCTGCAGAACTGTCGCCACTTTCGAGAGCTATTGGGGGGACCAGGGCGACCATTGGAGTGACGTCCTACCCGGATTCAAACTAGACCTCGCCGTCCCTGGGGGGGCTGCGATCTGCGAAATTGTCGTCACTTTCGAGGGTTGCGAGGGGGTCAAGCGGAGTGAGGTCTCACCCAGATTCAAACTAGACCTCGCCATCCCTGGGGGTGGGGGTGCGATCTTCGAAATTGTCGCCATTTTCGATGGCTGATTGGGGGTCCAGCGGAGTGACGTCGTACCCAGATTCAAATTAGACCTCGCCACCTTTGGGTGGCTGCGATCTGCGAATGCGTCGCCACGTTCGAGGGCTGCTGGGTTTCCAGCGGAGCAACGTCCCACCCAGATTCAATTCAGACCTCGCCATCACTGGGGGGGGGCTGCGATTTGCGAAACTGTAGCCAGTGTCGAGGGTTGCTGGGGGATCCAGCGAAGTGACGTCTTACCCACATACAAATCGGACCTCGCCATTCCTGAGAGGCAGCGATATGCGAAATTGCGGTTGTTGTTCAATGGTTGTTGGGTGGTCCAGCGGAGCGACGTCTTACCCGGAGTCATTTTCGACCTCGCCAACCTTGGGGGGCAGCGATCCGCGAAATTGTCGCCACGTTCGAGGGTTGTTGGGGGGCCCAGCGGAGCGACGTCTTACCCAGATTAAAATTGGACCTCGCCATCCCTGGGGGCTGCGGTGTGCGAAATTGTGCCCGCTCTCGAGAGTTGCTGCGGGGTCCAGCGGAGCGACGTCTTACCCAGTGTCAGATTTGACCTCGCCATCCCTGGGGAGTTGCGATCTGCGAAACGGTAGCCATTTTCGAGGGTTGCTGGGGGGTCCAGCGGAGCAACGTCCTACCCGGACTCAATTCAGACCTCGCCATCCTTGGGGGGGGGGGGGTGCGATCTGCGAGGCTGCTGCCACTTTCGAGGGCTGGTGGGGGTTCAGCGGAGTGACGTCGTACCCAGAGTCAAATTCGACCCCGCCATCCCTGGGGGGCAACTGTCGCCACTTTCGAGGGCTGCTTGGGGGTCTAGCGGAGTGACGTCAGACCCAGATTCAAATTCCACTTCGCCAGATTCAGCTTTGACCTCGCCATCCCTAGGGTGGGTTGCGATCTGCGAAATTGTCGCCACTTTCGAGGGCTGCTGGGGGACCTAGCATCGTGACGCACTGCGCAGACTCAGATTCGGCATCATTCTTTGGAGGCTGCGAGTTGCGAAACGGTCGCCACTTTCGAGGGTTGCTGGGAGGTCCAGCGGGGCGCTGTCGCGGGCCGCCCGCAGACCTGACGTCGCGCCTTGGAGCGTGTACCTCCCCCACTGAAAAGTGCAGGATGGAAGCAGGGAGTCTGGTGGGTGAGCTAGGCCTCGCTCGCTTCTTGTCCTAACTATAAACAGATTTAATCATTTTGCCGAGCGATGCGGCGAGATGGCGCAGGCAACGTTGCATCTTCAACGTGCTACCGACGAAAGCAACATTCTCCGGTCTCCTCCCGTCACTTTTCGTCGTCGTCCTCTGCCCCTTGCTACCTTCCCTTTCCTGCTGCCGCGCTGACGGTTCGGCCCCCCACGCGTCCTTCTCTTGCCTTTCGTCTCCGCCCCCATGTCCTCCTCAAGCTTGGGCCCTCGCTCCTCGTCCTTTTGTGGTTGTCCTGTGAGTCGTGCCACGTGAGCGCATCCCATGTAGCTTGCACAACATATAACGGCGCCTGCACTGTCACTGTCTGGGCAATTGTGGGTCAACTCGTCTTGCCACTTGATGCACATAGGTTGGGTACGTCGCAGGGGAAATTGCTTTCTGCTTTGAAAGGGGGAGGATTCCCACTTCCCTGGCTGTCAAAAGTTTAGGAAAGGAGAATCCATACGTGGACAAGCAAAAAGGAAGGACAGGAGAAGGAGGGAGTGGGGACGGGGGGGACAGGGGAAGGGGAGGAGGAGGAGGAGGAGGAGGAGGAGGAGGAGGAGGGGGAGGACAATGCATGTTGGACTTACCGATCATCGTTTCCTTGCACTGCATGGCCCGCTCGCGGGGTATTTTTTCCCCTGCGCACTTCGGCGCGCATGTTTTCTTGCGGCTCCTTGGGAAAAAGGGGGGGAAGAGTAAGAGTGGGAAAAGGGACGGGTGGGGAGAAGGGTGTAAGTCAAGACAACGCAATGCCGAATTATCCAACCACCTTTCCCTTGCATTGCATGTCCGGCTCACGGAGTTCTTATTCACGCGCGCCCTTCGGCGCGCACGTCCTCTGGCGGTTCCCTAGGGAAGTTGCAGGAACGAGGAGGACGAGTGGGAGAAGGGGCCCTCACCTCCAACGCGACAAGGGGGCAGATTGCATGCTACACAATCGTGGTTGATCTCTCTTTTCCCGTGCCCTTTCTCTCGTGCTCCTGCCGCTTTTCCCTGTCCCCGCTCCCATCTCCAGAACAGGCATCAGACGCACACAGGAGCGATGCCGCGCTGGCGGCCCGCGCAAGCCGCCTCGTAAGGTCGCTGTGCCACCTCGCGTAAGACTAGCTTTTTCGTCGCACGCGTAACTCCAGTCGAGTCGAATCGAGTCGAGCGGGGCACGGGACGCGGGGGGGGAGGAGGAGGCCTCCGCCAGCATTTTCCGTGGAGGGAGCCCCGCCCTGCTGCCGCCCACCCTGGGGGCCGCCTGCCCCGGGGGCGCCCGCCCCGCGGGCCGCCCGCCCCGCGGCCAGTTCTATCCGACCGGCGCTTCCGCCAGGCCGCCGCCGCCCCCCCCCCATCCCAAGATGAGTCGGGGGTGGAAAGACCTCCCACCCTGACACGTCGATTAAGGAATTGGCCGTTTTCGGTTCGCGAGAGGGCGTCGCGGCCGTCATTTTTGCGGGTACAGGTCCGTCGATTTCGGTCCCAGGCCGTTTTCACTAAGGGGAGGTTTATTAAAGGGAGGTTTGTCCACCGCCGAATGAGACGACGATCCCGGCCAGTTTTATCCGACCGACGCTTCCGCCTGGCCGCCTCCGCCCCCCCCCTCTCAGAATCGACGACACGGTCGGACCGAGGTCGGTTCGGGGAGGGTGCCCTGATGTTCTCCGTGTTTAGGTGATGGAGGTTCTCTCGAGTTTTGGGTACTCTCGAGTGTGTTTAGGTGCCCTGACGTTCTTCGTGTTTTGGGTACTCTCGAGTGATCTTATTGTTGTAGGTTCTCGGACCTTTTCGTTGCTTCTCGGCAGTTTTCTGGTCTCTGGGCGGTTTCCATCAGCTGCGCGCCGCCGAGAGCGCTCCGGGGGTGCCCAGATCGTCCCGAACCGGACACCGCGGGGCTACAAGAGGGAGGACAGGTGCAGTGTTTTTGGGGGAACGCATCGATCCCCAATCGCCCATTCATCGCCGATGGGGGCCCCCCGAGCCCACCGCTGCCCAGGAAGGTGCGGAGTTGCTAACATTCGGGGGCGTACCACCGATCTATCAGTGATGCACCGCCGATTCAAGATCGATGTTCCCCCCCCCCCCTACGGCAGTTCTCCTCTATCGTTGCCCCTCAGGATCGAACAGGCCGTTCCATGTTTCCTCCGCCAAGACGCTGAAGTCAGGATCACTTCGGGTTCAGGAGGGTCCTGAGTTTCGCGAGAGACGGTATATGCGTGTCCGGGTCTCGCCGTTGCCACATTTGCGGAGGTCCGCGCTGATCTCTTGGATTTCGGAGCTAGACTCCCCCTCTCCCTGGCGCGCGAAGCGCGGCAGGGGGGAGGCGCCAGAGGCGCCAGCAGGGGGTCCCTGCCGCCGAAGCGCGAAATCGGCGCGGCTTATGCCTGTGACTTTTTCGACGGGCTCGGCCAGGACCGGGATGACTAGTTCCAGAGCGTTCGGGAACGATCTCAGGGCGCCCCAGAGCGTTCTGGAACGGCCGCGGTGCCCAAGACATCTTCCAGAAACGTCGGATCTCTGAGATGCCTGATCTGGCCCAGTATGATTTTGTCCCGGTCCTGGCTTTGTGTTTTATGTTTGTCCGCCGGTCGGATTTGCGTTCTTCGCGCCGGACAAGAAGCCCGCGCGGGCCATCGCCTGCGCGGGACGGCGGGCAACCCGAAGTTGTACAAGGCAGAGTCTTTCATGCAGGCCGCGCCGCAGCTGGTCCAGGCCCCCCGGGGGTTCGCCAGACGATCAGGAGGATCTAGGCCTCCCAGATCGGGTCCGAGCAGTGGAGGAGGAGAAGGAGGAGGAGGAGCAGGATGAGGAGGAGGAGGAGGAGGAGGAGAAGCGTTGAGGAATGAGGATTGAGGAGTGAGGAGTGAGGAGTGAAGAGTGAGGAGTGAGGAGTGAGGAGTGAGGAGAAAGAGGAGTTTGGAGTTAGGAGTGAGGAGTGAGGATGGGGAGAGGAGGAGAAGGAGAAGGAGGAGGAGGAGGACGAGGAGGAGGAGGACGACGAAGAGGAGGATTTAGGTCTCCCAGGTGGGGTCCGAGCAGATGGAGTCGGAGGATCGCGCCGCATCGCCGATGCATCGGCGATGCGGTTCGATATGGAGTTCGAATTTCTCTTTTCTCCGACAGCGCCGATACATCGCCGACGTTCCGGATACATCGCCGATGTATCGCCGATACATCGGCGATGCAGCGCGATTTTCAGATTCATCTACTTGGACCCCCTCGAGGAGGCCTCTAGAGGAAGAGGAGGAGGAGGAAGAGGAGGAGGAGGAGGAGGAGGAGAAGAGACGTTTTGCATCGACGATGGTATATATTTGGTTGCGAGTGGGCCTAATTCTGCACAGTCCTGTGCCCAATGCCATTAACTCCTGCTTGATCTGGTTAATCAGCGTACGTACATGTTGGATCTCATCTGGCTTGATCCATCTTAGTGGCCCCTTGATCATAGCTCCCCGTTGTTCTCACAACGACCTCCCGTAAGTTGCCGTCTAACAAAAAAAACTCTGCGGTAGCCAATTGGCGGGTGATGACTACGGTGGGTTGATATCATGACCGGGGCTATGACATCTCAGCAGATCTCATGGCCCCCTCTCCAACACATTTTCTGATCCCTCCTGGGCCGTGCACGTGCCTCGGGTCATCTAATTTGTGTATTGACCGCAGCGACGACACCACAATGAAGGACTCAACATCAGGACCCTGGCAAACAAACGTTTCGTGCTGCTTGGGAGCACGAAGGAGTGAGGATAGGGCAACATAATCACCTGTGCACGCTTCCTGGGCGCGTCCTCACGCCCACTGTTGTTTTACTAGGGGACCCTTAGCCGCTCTGGCTCTTGCACCCCTCGGGACCCCTGGCTGGGCTCCCGCGGCCGCGACAGGGGGAGTCAGATTTTGGGCTGGCCTCTGGTACGCCTTCGTCCCCGTCGGTGGGGCCGGCGGGGGCCACACACACCATGGCCTCTGCCGCATACCTCAAGAAGCGCTTGAGGCACAAAGAAGATGCAGTGTGCGACTCGAGCTCAAGCTGGGATGGGGCAGGAATCATGGCCGCTGCAGCCTTTGTCATCCTGTCCGCCCCGTCGCTGACATTCCGCGACGAGCCATTCCCCAGAGCCCATCTCGAGCGTGCTGAGATTCTGGTGGGCCGTGACTTGGGCTACGATGCTTGGGACTAGTTTGGGCCCTGGCTGGGACTGACACTCCAGCAGACAGCTCCTTCCTAGAGACGGTGGGGCTGTGGTGGACCGAAATTATGCCCCTGCAGTCGGTCCAGGCTTGGGCTACTCTAGGGCATGAAGCAGCGGCGAGAAATATTTCACTGTTCGGCGGCAGGTGAAGTCGGGGGCAACGCAGCCCCCAGAGGGCCCGACAGGCATGCAACCATGTCACCGTCGTCGTTTTTGACGCTAGATCTAGCTGAGGGTTTTGCTCGCGCGCGCAGCCTCTCCTTGTTCTTTCCGCAGTTTTTCCTCAAGTTGCCCAAGCTCTCTAGCGAGGCCAACGTTTCTGTTTGGGGTGGGCGGGCGGGGCCATAGCTCGCCTGCCTGGCCGCGGCCCAGCCAGGCATTCTGAGGAGCGCTGGGAAGTGGCAGGGCCAGCTTCCCCCTCACGCGCGGGCAGCGACCGGAGGGGTCGCGCGGCCCGCCGCTGGCGCGATGGTGAGGCCATTGCATGGCCTCGAGTGCAGGATGGCCATGGCTGTGGGCGCGGTGCTGACGTGGCTCGACGCGCCGCTGTACGCTTCTCCGCGACCGCTATGGTCCCGGGGCCTGCGGACGGCCGCGCCCGGGCAGGCCCGGGCGAGTGCGACTCGAGCGATGAGGAAGAGCACGAAGGGCGGCCCAGCCGAGACGGCCAGCACAGCTGCCAGGCGAGAGCGGGGCGACGCCGCTAGCCATCGAGGGGCCATGGCCCAGCCCGTCCCACTCCAGGCGGCAGCGACCCTCGCTCTCCCGGGGCCCCCAGCCGCGGATCCGCCCTCAGCCAGGGCCGACCCAGGCGGGCGCCCCCAGCCGTCTGGCGAGTACTACTACCAGGACTGCTACTACGCGGACCAGCGGCGGCGCCCGTGCAGCCGCCCCCCAGCGCGGGGGCCAGCGCCGCCGGGGGCCGAGGGGTGGCGCTACCGCGGGCGGAGAGGAAGCGCAGGAGGCTAGCCCGCCCCCGCCGCCCCGAGGCGAGCCGATTAGCGCGTCCAACGCGCCAGCAGCGGGAGGCAAGCGAGACGATGGGCCAAGCTCGGCACCCAGTGCCATTCTGGGGGTGCAGATCGCCAGCATGTCCTGGGTCAGCGCGTGGGTCGAGGCAGCCTTGAAGTGGCTCGGCGAGAAGGTCGGGCGCGCGCTGGGCGCTGTGCTGCATCGACTCATCTATCTTCTGATGGGGGCTGTCGACGCCATGGGTCGTTATTTGTTCGGCAAGTACCTGGCGAAGTTGCAGTGGGCGGCTATGGGGCTCGTGGCGCCCAGGGTGGCTCGCGCGGCCGATCTCGTCGCGGTCTGGCGCGGCCGTTCCACTGCCCCAAGATCTAAGGGGAAAAGGGGCCAGGCTCGCGCCAGGCCGAGAGGAGGGAGGTCCGCCAGGCACGCGAGGATCGCCCTCTGGCGGGCAGGGGGGCCAGGAAAGGCAGCCCCGCGCGTTCTTGAAACGAGCGACGAACGGATACATTACATTGCGCCGCTTTGTCAAGACAAGACAACATCCTTCAGTTAGCGCAAAAGCCGTTTTATTTAATTCAAGACGGATGTTCTAGATGCGGGGCCGTTTCCCTTAGCCTCAGATCTTATCATTGCCATGGCCTGAGTGGCTCGAACAGTTGTTGTTGTCAAACCAGTTTGGCATTGTTTGCGCGTAGTTGCAGTTGCGCGACTAAGCCGCGCCGAGCGGTGGGGTCTCTCGTTTTCATCGTGGCGGTTCTGCTCTTTATGGTCACCCGAGCCGCTTGGGAAATGCGAGTGCCCACGGTTAAATCGAGCGCAAGCTTCCACCGCGCACCGGGCGTCGATCCTCGCGCGGTGGACTTGCGCAGCGCGAGGGGCACTCGAGGGCGCTGGGGCCGCGGCCGGCGAGCATGGAATTGCCCATGAAGGTCAAGGGGCCTACATTTCAGCGACGCGCAAGAAGAGGGCGTCGTCTGCGCCGGCGTCGGCGCGAGAGCTGCCCGCGCAAGGTCGCGCGCGAGCGTCCTCGCTGCAGGTTCAGCGCGCCGCGCGGGCGGCCCGCGCAAGCCACCGCGTAAGGTCGCCACGTCATCTCGTGCAAGACCCGTTTTTGATCGGCCGTCATTTGGGTTGTCGGGGGTTCAGGAGTCCATGGGGGGCACCCCGCGTGCCTGAACGAACCCGGCAGGTGCGCCTCTGCTAGCGCAATCGTCCGCGTGGCCATCACCATGGCCCCCCTTTTAATGATTCATCATGAAACAGACGACGGTCTCCGAGAACTCCGACTCCAAATCCCCAGTGCATTTGTTGCCGTTCACGTTTTCGTAGTGGTTGGATAATCAGAGCGTTGTTTTCCTTCTATCACTTTACACGCGGGCCCCCGTCGGGCGAGCGGAGATGCGGGAGCAGTAGCGCGCGCGGTTGCGCGCGACCCGCCGCTGGCACCAACGTGGATGCGCGGGCGTCGCGGCGACGACGACGGCGACGGCGGCGACGACGAAGGTCGCGGCGACGGCGGCGGCTGCGCATGAAGTCCGCTCGCTCCCCCATTGCGTCCTTTCCGCCACTGTATTGGCTCAGGCATTCGCATTCTGACCATTGTGCAGTGCGCGCTGCGCAGTGCCTTGGGAAAGGGAGCCACCCTCCTTGCCTCTACCTGCGGACCCCGTGCAGGAACGGCCCCTTCGGCCGCCCCCCTGTATTCACAGGTTACCAGCCTTTGCTTAACCGCTTTTTATCGTCGCAATTCGCGCCATGTTGGATTTTGCCGCTCGCCGCCATAACCTCGCCATGCTGTCCGCAAGCGCGCGCCCCCCTCGACGGCGCATGCTAGCGACAGCATCATGGAGAGGGAACGAGGAGCAGCAACGCCCATGCCCCCCCTCTCAGGCGACGGCAGCGCTGCGTCTGTCGCGGAGGCCTTTGGGGAACCCGCACCTGATTATCCGATGCCCCGGCCTCCCCCGTGTGCTCGCGCGCCTCGGCCCTCGCGACAACGGCTGGATTCGCTTTCCGCAGAGCCTGATGCATCCCGCCCGTCGACGGCCACGCCCGCCGTTGTCGCGCCTGTCGTCGGAGCCAACGCTGACCACACTACACCTACTGCCTCCCCGCCCACTTTCGCTGACGCCAGCGTCGGCGGTCGCGCCCGCAGCGGCCACCGCGCCGCGAACCTGCCCCCCGACGCTGCTCTCGCTTGCAGCCGCCGCTGGGCCAAGGTTCCGTCGCCAACAAATGTCTCCGTCTCAGAACGTGCGCGGGTCATAGAGAAGCGCGCTGGATGGACGTCTCAGCGACAGGTCCCCGAAAAAGGTGCCACATTCGTTCTCGCAGTCGAGATGCCAGCCGCAGCCCCTTGCAAAGACGCTCCTGGCAGGGCTCTCTGCAGCGCGATGTTGTTGCGCAATCCTCTCCAACTGCCAGTGATCTTGCAGAGCTGAGACCAGGTAGAAACGCACGCGACTCAACAGCTATCGGGCCTGACCGCCCAGACGGCCTCAACCAGACAGGAGCTGCAACGTGCTGTTGCCTTGGTCGATGCTAGGACCGCCG